AAGATGCCGGCCACAGAGACTGGCGAAACGTTAGGAAGAACAACCTTCAGAACACAGCCAAAGAGCCCGAAAAACCCACAACAACCATTAGATCCCGACCGTGAAAGCCTTCACGAATACATTGAAAACAAGCAAGTTTACATGCAATCAAATCCACGCTTATTGAATGAATCATTATTTATTTATTTACTTATAGAATTCCTATCCCGCCCATCTAGTCAATAGACTACTCTGATAGAACAATAGAACATCCCTAATTTTCCTTCTGTGATTTACTTACTACTCCATAAATAAACCTTGTTATATTTGGCAGCAAGAGTGTGAGATTCATAATTGATATAGTGAGGATAATATCCTCTGGTGGCAGCGGAAAGGGGAAAAGAACAAGTTGTGTCTGAAGGTGAACCTGTGTGAGAGGCAAAACATATAGGGTACACTGGGGGTGCGTGAGAATAAGACTCCCTGCTCAGCAGCTGAGGGAGGTGAGAAGCCCCACCTGGGCTACCTCCGCCATTGGCATGGCATGAATGAGGACGGCTGCACAACAAGCAGTAAGTGGACGACCCAGTTTTGAGGGGAAGAGTCTAACAGACCCAACAACCTGCGGTGGCGATCTTCGTATTCGTCTCCCCTAGGAGACGAACACGAATATCCCATCTTTAAATAATCCAACTTTATACAGTCTTCCTAGACTAATGACTAGAATAGAATACAAGTATTTCTCCAAATTTTGCAATACATATGCACTTGAAGGAATTCAATGTACAGAACTGTGTGTATGTTCTGGAAAAACGACTATGTATGGACAAAACGTTTATGTGTTTAGTGAAACTGTACTTGCAAATGAATGCCAGTGTTGGGACGGCATGTTTGTCTGTCTGTGTGTTTAAATGTAAACTGATAAAGGAATGGGGTATAATGCATATGTGCAAATCTGGCCCCACCACTATCCTGGACTTCTCAACCTTCCAAATCCCCCAAAGTGTTTAAAACGGTTTTGTTGTTGTTGTTCAAAAAGTCACCTTATGTCCTCTGAAGGGAAAAGGAAGCCATTCTGCGTTGTTTCAGAGGACTTGGGGGGGACACCCCAAAAATTGTAAGCCTTTTTTAAAGGCCACTACAGGCATGAGGCTTTTTCAAAAGGCCACTAAAGGCATGAGGGACATGGTGGCCCTGCAGGTTAAACCACAGAAGACCAGCAGTCATAAGATCAAATCCACGTGATGGAGGAAGCTCCTATCGCTCGTCCCAGCTTCTGCCAACCTAGCCGTTCAAAAGCATTTAAATATGCGAGTAGATAAATAGGTACCACCTCAGTGGAAAGGTAACGACGTTCTGTGTCTAGTCGCACTGGCCACATGACCACGGAAACTGTCTTCGGACAAACACTGGCTCTACAGTTTGGAAACAGGGATGAGCACTGCAGCCTAGAGTTGGACACAACTGAACTAAATATCAAGGGGAACCTTTACCTAGAGGGCATAAGATGGTCTTGTTCTATTAAAAGGCTTTCAGGGGAGAGTAGAAGAAAAAAAATATTCTTGAGATGGGCAGGATGTGGGAACAATTACGACCTTTCAAGAGTGCAGTTGTCAGAACTCTGAACATTGGCACCTCCATCATGTTGCCCCAAAATGGAAGAGATTGGTTTGTTCTACAAAGGAACAGCATAGGAAGAGGCTGTGTGTAAATTGGCAGGGATCCAAGTTGGGAACAAATGACTTGCTGGTCTAAATCCTGTTGCTTCACATAGTCAATCACACTAGATAGTATGGAGATTTCATAAGTCAACTCTTCTATAAGTTCCATTGACTCAAATGAGCCAACTCTAACTGTAACCTATTATGCTAAACTACTCGTATATTACAGTTAGAGTCAGACTATTTGAATCAAAGGAATTTACAGAGGAGTCGACTCACCAAAACCCTACTGATTCAATGGTCCTAGTCTGATGCAATTTATTATGTTAAGCATCAGGATTTTTTGCCAATAATGCAAGAAAGCACCTTATATATTCCCAGATTCTGATGTCAATACGTAGCATTCATGACTAGCATGTATTGGTAGCGTTATCTTCGATAAATTCATTTGATCTATTTAAAGCTAGAGATGGGAAAAGCATTCTGTTAGATCCGATCCATCTTGTCTCAGGTAGGGCTTTCTCACCTCCTCAAGATCATTGAGAGAAGAAACACACTATACTATGACAATTCACATATTCATAAATGAATATGATGCACCTGGGAGAAAGGTTTCAAATTAGGAGGCTTTCTAGATTTAGGCTATGATGGGTCGGGCTTTGCCGAAACTTCCTGCTCATAAAGACATCTCACAGTTACCACTGAGGCGGACACAGGAAACTAGGCCTAGCTCAGTCTTGGAGCTTTCTGATTTAGGCCTTTCTCGCAGGTGTATCTAGAAATCCCAAAATGGAGAAATAAGGCATTTTAGACCAGAAAACCCACAATTTCCAGCCCTATCCAGAATAATCAGGTTGAAGAACCGTCTATGACTATATCATACCTCAGCTTTCCATTTGGGAGTGATACAAAATACTGGTCTTTCCAACCCAGATGGAGGTGTTTGTAAATGTGAATGGTGATTTTCAGACTGAGAGGGGGCTAATTATTATATTTTTCATGACTGGGGGCAGAGGATCTGGGATGTCGGGGGTTCACATTGGCATCTCCTATGGTTTATAGATGATGCTTTTATTATTCATTCATTAACTTGGTGCGATCAACATATATAGCCCTGCAGAAATTGAAATGAGCTAAAAGGCATTAAGAAGTCTCTACACCAAGGGGCATGCAATCTAAAAGAACAGGAGAGCAAATAAGAGCGAGCATATCAAATCACTAAAACAAAATAGTACAGCAAATTGCTTTTCCATTCTTAGAACTCTTTTAATTTGGGGCACTGCATATTATTTTATGCAACTTTAAAAATGTACATTTTAAAGAGTGTTTCAGAAGTTCTAATTAATTGTTTTAATATTCCCGTGTTAAATTGTTAATTTAT